GTAGTTGTAGTTGTAGTAGTTGTAGTAGTTGCAGGAGTAGTAGTAGTAGTAGTAGCAGCAGCAGCAGCAGGAGTAGTAGTAGTAGTAGTAGTAGTAGTAGTAGTAGTAGTAGTAATGGTTCTAGTTCGGCACGTCGCGCTCCTCTCGGCCCTGGCCCCTGAGTGATGCTGCAGGACTTCCCCAAAGGGAGGGTGCGCAAACGCACCACAAAATCCCTCAGATTTCGGTTTTTCTGTCACTGCCATCCTTCAGCCTGAACGCTCCTCTCCTGCATCCATGGAACCCTAAACTCCCTAAACCAGAAAATCCTAAACACCTCCTTCCCGCACCCAGCCTCGAAGCTTTCGCCGAAGCGCTGGCCGGAGAGGCAAAGGCCTTCCAGTGCTGAAGTGGAGGCCTCGCCTCAGCTCCCGGATCTTCTTCTTTTTTTGAAGGCTGAAGGCTCTTGTTCTCCCTGCTACAGCCGTGTCTTCTAAGGTTTAGAGGTTCCTGCCTGAGTTTGGGGATGGAGAAAGCTCCTAAAAAGACGCTTTCTGAAGTCCCTGATACGCGAGGATTGTATAGGTCCATACGAAGGCCAAGGTGTTTAGTGTCGGGCTTGGTTTCCCGCAGTTTCAGCCATGGCAGCAGAGCCAGAGCTAGCCGACCGTGTTTGGCATCAGTTTGCCCTGCTGCCTTCGGGCAGGGAGAGCTCGGCGGCACCCCCACCAACTTTCCCACATGATGCCCTAGAGATTATTGGAGTACGATACTCCCAGGCAGAATGATGTGCCACACTTCTCGCACTGTCCGGGGGCCAAGCGCGCGGACTGCCAGTCCTGGAGATGCAGCGACCAAACTATGCTGGCAATAGAAGTGAAACCGGAATTGAAGGCCCGAAAGTCTTGTCACAAGCTAGGGCTTCCCGAGAGTCTACGGAAGCACTTAGGACTTAGGAAATTCTTAAAAAGAATAGCAGCAATCGCGAGTGCCATCCAAGGGAGTAAGAGCAGAACCTAGACAAGGAGGGCTCCTCTGCAACCAAGGCCTCCTTCACCGATTCCTGCAGGGTTTGGGTTTTCGGGCTTGGGGCTCCTTGCGGGACAGCATGTGAAACCAGCCTCCACCGCATCCACGAAGGCATTCACCGCCTCTGTGAGAGCCTGCAGTTCTACATAGTTCTACCTCTGTGACGCCTGCTCGAGCTTGCCTGAAATACGGAAACAACAAATGAATATGGTCCGATGCTTTTGGAAGCTGAAGTTTTTCATATCGACGTGCAGACATGAAGATTTCAATGCTTTTTGAACAACCTGTGAGATTCTCTTCAAGTCTTGTGCGCTCGGTGGATCTGCAGCCTCTTTGACTTAAAGTCGACATTGTGCCTACAACTTTTGCCTCCAGCCCGTCGCCACAATATCACACGAACTCCGCAAGAGCCTGAAACGCTTCGATTCGCGGGGCAGGCTGCGGTGCCTGCCAGCCCATGCGACAAACGAAGCAGCAACACTTCGCCCTTTCGTTCGACTTGAAAGCAACATCCCCGATGCCTGATAGCAGCGCCAGGTCGATACTGGAACAGTCACGGACTCCTTCAATGGAAATCTCTGTTGCGCTAACCTACCGGAGAAGAGAGCCACTTGCTGCTCCGTGGGAAGACCGTAGAGAGCCACCCCTTCTGGCGACAGCAGCAGCCAGCCATGTCGAGCCTTGTGGCAACGAACACTGTGACAGCCCGAGGCTCTGCCCACACACGGCGAGTTCATTTTTGGCAAAGGCGCTCTCCCCTTGTTCAGCTGCTCGTCTCGCAGAATGCGGAAGCCTCCGAAAAAGCCACAAAAGTGTGGATGACAGAGAAGACGAGGCTGCCGAGCTGCCCTACCCAAAAACTGGCCTGGCTGAGAGATGTTGTGGAACACGGGCGCGCCAAACTTCTCTTTGGAAGTTACCTGCAGCTTGATACAGATTCCACAACCTTCCGTATCTGTCACCACTTTGTGAAGATGCTGTCGCAGCACTGGCCTGGTAAACGCCGTTGGCCGCCTGCGCAGCTGTTGCAGGGGCCGCGAGACGCACGTTCCGGCTTCTTAGCTTCAAGAAAATCTATGCAAGCAGAAACCTCCAGCCCTGCGGCAGCTAGGCGCAAGGCGGCGATGCCTGGATTCCACAAACATCGGAGCCTTCTGCCATGCAATGCACCCATGTATTGCACCAGTATGCTTGAACATGTCAGTGTGCATGTGTAGCGTGTATTGTGCGCTGCAGGATCGCGCAGCTGTCGCAACAGCAGGTATTCACCACATCCCATGCAGAAAGCCAACCCGGACGGAGCAGCACCCCAGTAAAAGCAACCAGCATGCACCCCCATGACAGGAACTGCCTGCCCTGGGCGCATCGTCGAAGCCCCTGGGCAGCCGCCCCGGGCCGTAGCCTCCGAGTCTCCAGTCGGCCCGCCCCAAAAACCCCTGAAGGCTCGCCTGTGCTCGGGGAACCCTTAGCGTATGAGGCCTATTGTGGATTGTGTAACACATCGGAGTCGAATGGGAACGTTCCAGCAAGGACTGATGCAGTGCTTACCAATACTCCTTTGAAGCCAATCCCGATTTACTAGGACAGACCCCCCTGTCAGAGTGAGATCCTCAAAAAAGGGCGCTGCCACGCTGAGCCCAAGCCAAAGTACACGCCAGATATTCCGGACCCAAACTTTGGACATGTCGGAAGCTGACTGGCCCTGGGGTTGTCGGGCTCGTACAGCAGGTCACACTCGGTGCTTGGCAGGATCCGCCTTGTCTCGCTCGTTCCCGGGCGTCCGCATAATCCCGGATGGGCGCTTGGAGCATGCCCGCCGCATGCAAATGTGACTGAATCTTCGGATGTTCAGGGCTGGGGGCTTTGGGCAGTCGCAATTCAGGATTGGCTTCTTGCTTCCTCATGGTCCGGGTGGTTTGCGCCGAAGTGTCCTGTCTACGAACGGCTTTGTGCACATGAGTGTCAGTCTCTTGAGAAGTCCCTTGCTGCTGGTGCGTCTCTCTCCTCTCCAGATTTGCAGGTTTTTGGACACGAGCGCAGCAAGTCGCTCCGTAAATCGCTCCATGCTTCGAGATTGCACGCTGGGCCGAGCCGTCGCGCCTGTTTCCAGTTTCCGAAGCCTCCCCTGGCCAGAGTCAAGCCGAGTCACTTCGCAAAGATTGAGGTCCCTTCCCTGAACACTGTGGGCCAAGAACGAAGGCTGCTGCCTCCAGCTCCCTCCGCTTCTTTGCCGCTGTTCTCTGGGCCTTTCTCTGGCCGCTGCCTAGAAGCTAGGAGGGCACCACAGATGCTTTCAGCTGGGACATGCTCTAGATCTGTGCGTTCTGCTGAGGCGTGAGCGCCGGCATCTCCGCTCTCTGCTTGGAGTTATTCCTCGAGGGTGCCTGCATCAAATGCTCGCGAAAGGCGACATGGTAGCAGGGTTCAAGCGGTAGATGTGACAGCTGCATCGCAACGGGGAGCCCTTGTATCTTACTTCTGCCAAGGCTACCATCTTGCCTCACTGGCACAGAGAGATGGGCGGCGGCTTCGAGGAGTGATCTGCACGGGATACGACGACACGAAGGCTCGCACCAAACTGCTGTCCACTGTACCCACTTCCTTTGTTCTCTCCTGGTCCTAGCATCCGCTTGGGCTTCCACTGAAGTAGATCGTGCAGAGATGCAGGTGGCAAACGACCTGGAAAAACCACGTGTTCAGACTGAACAAGCACCAGCGCATGCCAGCGCCAGAAGCTCGCAGAGCCCACCTGGCTGAGCTTGGAGAGGGCGGCGTGGCGCCTTCAGCCATCGGCCTGAGCCCACGGAAGCTGCGCAGAGACAGTATGGGCCAATGGACGGTTGCTGCCTGGCCAAATGCAGCGGCAGTGCCGGAGGTGAGGTGTCCCTCGCACAGGCCACGGTGTGGCTGAAGAGCGAGTCTTCGGCTTTTTCGCGGCCTGCTTGCGCCCCTGCCGGCCCTGGCGATGCCGTTGGCAGCCTGCGCTGCAGTTCTACCAGACCAGAAAGCTGAACTTACTGAACTTCCCCCACCTTGCTGGGAGGGCTCTCGTGCAGCAGACAGCGGTGGAGCACCTGGGCGCTGCCGCACGGATGCCCCAAGCCAAGCCCAAGAAGCGCAAGCCTGGCCCAGGTGCCTGCTGACGAACGGAAAGCTCTGTCTGCCACTCCTCCACGGGGTTGTGCCAGGTGCCTCCGACGACAAAACTGGAAGCCGAGGAACGGAAGGAACGGAAGGAACGACTCAGAGGCCGAAGCTGACACCCTGCTCCGCGTGGTAGAAGTACTCGCCGTCTTCGGCGGCATAGGGCCTGGCAACACTCCAAGAGTCCCCACATGCCGGGTCCCGTCTCGAAGCATCGCAGAGGAGCGGCCCACTCCATCCATCCAGGGCCGCCGAAGCTCGGTCGTGGCAACTTTGGAGGTGCGTCTGAACCTGCACCGCAAGGCGCAAGTCTCGTAGTACGACGATCTTCGAGCAAAAAAGGGCCCCGGCGGCTTCCACCACCGAGGCTTCGGGCGGATCCAGCCTCCTGGGAAGTTCCCAACAAAAGCCTGGCTTGGCCCTCTGCTTCCCTGGCCCTAGCCCGAGCTACGACGCTAAGAGTGTAAAAGCACTGCCTCCAGTCTAGCTCGGTTCGCTGCCTGACTGACTTGATGAGATGGATCAGGTCCCGGAAGACCTCGTCCTGTTCTTGCTACTGGTAGCTTGGCGAGGCTTCTGAGATTGAATTGCCGTGCCGATTCCAACAAGGTCGGGTCCATGGGATGATTCCAGCTGCTTTGCTGTGTCACCTGGCGTGCAGCACGACGGCAGCTCTAGAAGCTTCCTGCCTGGAACGGCTCTACATGCGACGCTTCCACCGCAGAGAGCACCTGGTTGAAGAAGTAAATCCGTCGCTCCTGGTCCAGGTGTTCGGACCAGCTTGCCGGTAGCGGAGCTTCAAAGGCCTGAGACATGGAGAGCACAGAGAGTGCTTAGCCGGCATAGCCAAGGCTCAGTGAGATCTCTTCCCAGCCTCCCTAGCAACCCAGACCAGGTCGACATCCTTCTCAAGCTCCACGCCGAGGCTCTTTGCGTACCTTTTGGCTTCGTGAAGAACGACCCTTCTGAGTACGAACGCAAAGCTCCTTGAGGCCGTGGCTCCTTGAAGTCCGCCTCAGAGGCCTCCGAAGTCTGAGCTGCGATATCGACACCTCCGCAAGAAAATCGGCAGCTCAACTCCTTACGACCCGGGATTGTCGGGGCCAACCTCTCATGCAGAGCAACAATGTACACTTGCATGCTGCGCACACGCGCAGATCCACCTAGGACAAAAGCATCTACTATCAGATCATAGAAAACTCGAGAGAAAAGCGATGATGACCAAAATGCTGGTGTGCTTGCATGCAGGCTGCATACCCACGTACACCTATACATCTACAGATGCATATACATGTACGTATGCATGTACGTGTACATGTACGCATACGTGGTCATACCATGCATACACCTGCTACACATATTCATATCCACATGCAAATTTATATACATGTACACATATACATGTTTATTCTACACGTGCACATCTACATTTGCACATATACATGCACAGATTCAGCTACAGATACAGATACTTATGCTGTGTATACATAGCAAGCAAGCAAGCAAGCAAGCAAGCAAGCAAGCAAGCAAGCAAGCAAGCAAGCAAGCAAGCAAGCAAGCAAACACATACATACATACATACATACATACATACATACATACATACATACATACATACATGCACACATACGTTCTACATATATGCATATACATATATATGGACATGTACATTCACCCACATGCACATATACACGTATACAGTATACATGTTCCCATAATGCATGCACACACACAAAGAAACGTACAGACGCATGCATATGGCAATGTAAACACACCTGTGTGTAATCCACGTGCATGTAATGCATACACAGATATATACATGTTGCAGGCCCACAAAATGTATCCATGCTTCTGTCTGGCATGTGCGCATGTGCACGCGACGTGTTTTTGCGTGCACCTTGGGCGGGACCAGCAGCAAAGGAGAGGGAGGGAGAGTGCTGCCATCCCCTCGCAGGTAGCCTTCGGACTCACTGCTGAAGCCGAGATCCCCCAGTCCGCCTTCAGTCCTCGGTGACGTGAAACTCTGAAGGGCCGGAGCCCTTGTGCTGTGTTACTTTCTGCAGTGAGACCGGGTCGCTGGGGCTCGCACATACCCAGCACCAAACATGGCCCTGTGCCTGCCGAGGCGTGCTCTGACTCCCAACTTCTGACTTCACGTGCTGCGCTGGCGTAGCACCAAGCCAGTGGCAGCACACCCTACCGGGGGTAACCATGTTTGTTCGAGGATTGAACAGCTTCTGACCAGGCCTGGAAGCAGAAAGGAAAGGCGCCATGCACATGGTCATTGGCAAACAGTTGCTCACCAGTGAACGGTCTCCTTCAGGACCGGAGTGGTCTTGTTTCACTGCTGTGGGCAAATATCTCACACACCTGCGTGGGCTTCCAAACTACGTCGCGGTTTGTGAATGCAGCTTGGCAATGCTTTCACTCAGAGTCGTTGTTGTGTTTGCTCGCTAGGTTTGGCTCGAAACATGTTCGCTGCGAAACGAAGATTAGCAAATTTAGCAAGCGAGCATGCAGACATGCATGCACAGGAACAGGCATGAGATACTCAAAACATCTCAAAACATACTTCTGTTCAAGCCATCTCGCAGACATCTGTCTGAGGTCTCTGCGCGCTCAGCTTCCTGAATGCGCGCGATCAAGCAAAGCCGCCAACGCCTTATGTTACAAGACTGCCCCGGGTTGAATAGCTATCTGTCTGAGCGTGTCCCGATAATCATGATTGCTGCCAACCAGTACTCTTGTACTTGCAACATAAAGCGTGGTGAGAGAACCTGCATTGTTGTGCAGGACCAGCTTGTGCGACTACAACGCGCGGCACCAGCCACCGACAGCAGGAGGTGCTCCACACCCTGCGGTACTTCACATGCTACAAGCTCTGGATACTACATCCTATAGTATGTATATAGTTTCTAGTATATAGTATATATATATATATATATAGTCTGCAGAAACAAGGTGTGGACCTGGTGTGGACCTATCGGCGCACCGGGCCGCGGCTATCTTTGGACTACAGGCCATGTTAGACGATTTGCCCGGCATGAAGAGAAGAGCTGCAAACTGGCTTGCAAGCTCGCCACCACGGCCGGGTCGCTCCCAATTATTGTCTCAAAGTCTCCAGAAAGCGAGATTTACGGTGCCATTGTGGTTACGTGCTCTCATTATTCACAAGCAAACCAGTCTGCTCTCGCTTCCCGGTCGACACTGAGAACTTCTTGCACCTTGGGAAAGCCCGGCACGCTTGAAGCGACAAATCAGCTGCATTTCCGTGTGGAAGGCGCTGCTAGAGTAGTTGCTTGGTTTTAATGCGGCATCAAGCGTGCCACCCTGCGCCAGCCGCCGAGGGCGTTTCCAAATCCTATCGACAACCTTTACAAGCTTACGATTATGCAGAAATTCTCACCCCAGGGCGCGGCCGCGCCGCTGCGTCATCTGGGGTACTTGGTCGGGAGGATACCTGAGAATTCGGTTCCCCGTTGGCGGACATGCAAGACTGATGAATCCTAGTCGGCAGCATCCGGGCATGCCCGTTCCCCACTTCAACAACATGTTGGGATGCCGTGAGACATGTCTGTCGAGACAGGCACAGGCCAAGGACAGAGAGAGACGCAGAGAGACAAGGAGAGCGAAAAAGGTTGACGTTTGATCGCAGAACAGATATCCCTTGAGCTGCATGGAAAGACCCTGGAGGGAAAAAGGCTGTAATGAATCTTGTTCGACGGTTTCCGCCCCATAGGGACTCCCTAGGGGCCCATTCACTGCTTTTGGAGCAATGGAAACCAGGCTAGGTTCGGAAGAGGTGCGACGGAACCTTGTGTGGAAGCTCTGAGCAAGGACCTCGCAGGCAGAAGAATCGCAGTCGCTGCACCATACTACGCCCATGCTCACCGAAGGCAAGCCTGGAGAGCTACGTCCCCCACCTGCCTGAATTTGGCGAAAGTGAGACCGTCGGCTCTTCCTGGCCTCCAGCTGTCTTTCGCCCTGTACTGGTCTGCTCCTGAGTTTGTATGGCAGGGCACAACAGCGCCTGAGTCATCCTGCCGTCCTGCAGACGAGCATCCAGCTTCAAGGCCACGGGCTTGGCATGCAGCTTCTCTTCCGTAGAGAAAAGCTTGCCCGCTTCCTTGCTTCTGTGCATGAGGCTGATAAGGACGATGCCGGACATCGCGTAGTGGACCGACAAGCCGCAGAGGACGCACTTCCAGCCCCAGAGGGCCGCGTTTCTGCTGAACATGGGACCTGCAAGGATGCCGGCAAACTTGCTGAAGACGTTCCCTATCGCGAAGAGCTCGCTGGCCCTGGTGTGGGCGACGTCGTGAAACAACGCCGTGAGCCCGGAAGTTTGGAAGCCATGGGTGCCCATCCAGAGAGTCAGCAGGATGGAGACGCTGAAACGGCTCTCCGAACTGCAGATGGTCACCAGGCACAGAGCAGGCAGCGCAGTGCCCAAGAGCCTGGCTGAGTGAAATCTTACGGAACAAGGCTGAGGAAGACAATCAAGGCTGTGCCGGGAGGGACTGAGTGGGTCTACCTCGCTGCAATCTTTGCTAGGGGTGCTAGAAAAGGACGCCTCGAGCATTGGCTGAGGTGCAGACTGCATGAGCATCCGGCAGCGGTGTGTTGGCCAGGATTTGGCCAGCCGATCGGCCAGGATGCCACTGAGAACGCAGCACACCGAGTTGCAGAGCGGGGCGGCGGCTGTAAGCCACGCAAGATCGGACACCTGCGCCCCATAGGCTTCCACGAAGAGGCTGGGCACGAAGCTGTAGAGGAAGGCATTGGCGACACCGGAAGCGTACATGGCGAAATAAATCGCGAGGATTAGGGGCTCCTTGGACCAGACAAGCAGCTCCTCCCAGTCCGCGGTTTCAGCCACGAGGGCCTCGCATCCGGAGTGCATGAAAGGAGACTCTCTCTCTCTTTCTTTCGCCAGGGCTAGGGGCAAGAGGATTGCTCCCCTTACCCGNNCGTTGTGGAGGGGGTGGAGAGACGAAACTGCACCACCAAGGCAACTAGGCCAGTTCACTCTCTCTCTCTCTCTCTCTCTCTCTGTGTCTGAAAGAACGACGGACAACGACTGCCTTCGCTTTGGGCCGAGAGCTCGGAAGCATACGGATGGCAACAGCAGTGGCGCCGCCAAGGACTGCAAACAGCACGAACCTTTGCTGGTACCCACAAACAGTAAAAGGTGCAACTTCTAAGCAACAAAAATACGCGCTCAGCGCTCGCCTGCAAAGCCACGTGACGGAGTTGGCCAGCCGCAGAAATCGACGAGCTGAGGAGTGATGAAGTTGCCTCTTCACAGCACTTCGACCTAACCTCTGGACAGGAAAGCTCGGCGCGAAACAGATGAAACGCGTCTCCCCCCTCCAGGGTCCAGAAACAATCCTGCATCCTGCAGTATCCCTCCCCAGTCCCAGTGCAGCCGCAGACGCTAATCATCGCTCCCATGGCTGATGCACTGACGATCCTCAGCAGATTCGTCAGAACAGCGAGACGACGTGATCCGGATCATGAAAGCCTTCCAAGGCTCAAGCTCACGGCCAAGCCCTTCTCTGTGGCTGGCACGGCCTCCGCCAGGAGTGCGTGCGCGGCCGGGTAGCCGAGGCCGCAGCCTCCGCTCTTCGCGAAAGAGAAGGGGGCCCGCACCAGCGTGCTAAAGTTATGTCCTTTTAGTTGCCCCATCTCTGAGCTCGCGACAGAATCCGAACGGCAACTTCAGCAGCAGAAGCCCAAGCATCGGCCCCTGCACAGCTAGCGGAACCTGAAGCTCGCTGACACGGGATCTCGAGATGTCGCCAGTCTCCGACGCTCAGTGGGCATCATGACACATCATGGCAGCCGGGTTGCCAGTAGCAGCACTGCAGCCCAGGCAGCTGTGCCCAAGCTCAGCAGCTGTTGCCCACTGTAGCGCTGCACGAGCGGCTTGGCTGCCAGCTGCGCCACCAAGTCCCCGGCAAAGAAGGCACTGGCAGAAGCCCCCACAAGCTCCGAGGCGGAACAGTGCGAGTCACTGCAGATCACGTGGGACACCACCGGCAGCACAGAGCGAGAGCCGTAGTTGGCTGCAAGGGCACAAATGGCCAGTAGGGTCGGCAGCGAGGGCTTCCCCATAGTGGGATTGCTATAGGTCGAAGCGCCGCAGCTTCATTTAGAGACCGACTGCTTTGAGCCCGCGCTGCACATGAATTGACGAAGTGGAAGAAGCAACTCCAACCAACCTGGCAGGAGCAATGCAGCAATGAACGCTTGGACAGTCCAGGCCCGTATCACCTTTTGCCACTGAAACGATTGGCATTTGGCCAAACATCGCGTGAACCCGGACTCTGTCTCCCAGCCGGCACCGGCAGAGACCACTGTGCGTGGTGACAAGAAGGTCGTACTCTTGGCCAACAACAGCTTCCCATGCTGGGATAACCATGTCAGGGTGCACATCATGAGAGCCAGCAGGTGCGAGTTCGAAGAACATGCTGCCGGGATCCTTGGTCACGATGTCACGGAATCCACAAAGTCGGGATGCTCACCACTTTGGGAAGCAAATCGGCCAACAGTTGCTAGAAAATGCAAGGCTCTAACAGGTAGGTCCAGACGCCAAAGGGCAATTCTGGGAACAAGTTGATTCCGATATAGCCTTCGTCGCTGGTGTAAAGCCTTATATGCAACATAAGCTCGCCCGCAGAGTCCAAGTACACAACACGAGCGACTCAGAAGCTGAAGCAGACATTGCTCAAGCCAGTGGTTTACCTTCAACTACCTTGCATCTAGGCACGGGCCGTAGATGGGCACCTCGCCAACCGCTTCCTTCAATGACTCATCGAGCGAAGCTTCTCCAGTGATGACGACGACCTCCCGAGGCAGATCACGGGTGGTTGTCGAAATGGTCCCCTTTTGGGTCCTTATAATAATACGGCACCTATTATTTAAAGTACCCCAAATGGGACCCTAATTTAGAGAACTACCCATGCAAAAAACTAGGCTCGATTGCTTCGTTTGCCCGCCCTACTTAGGAGTCCTTCGATAGCCCAAGGCTCGAGTGAACTTAGTTCTGCTGCATGGTCCGAAGCAAGATCGCACGTGTCGTGGCGTTGAAGTTATCGAGAGCACACATGACAGACTCGCGGCAACCCTCTTATGTATCTGTTGCCGACAATTCCTCACCTTCAGCCGCGGCCACAGATCGGATGCGACCGCACTGGTCTTCAGCATCCTGTCCTTGGGCATAGCATCATGTCGACCCTTCTCGGAAGCATTCCGCAAAGATGCAAGGACCCTGAATTTCACTGAATGCACGGCTGGCAGACTTCCTGAGGCCGAAATCTGAGGCCTCACCTCCACTCCTACTGGTCCAAGCATGTCCAAGCATCCACCTCTCGGGACCGATGTCCATCCGGGCCAGAGAGCCTCGGCCATGCCCTCGAAGAACCTAAACCGTGAACCCCAAGTTTACAAATCAAAGGGAGAAGCCCGCTGCCTCTGGCCACTAGCCCGCCCACCTCGTCCGCTTAGCCACCCCAAAAAAAACCTCTGATGCCTCCGACCGCGCGGCGCCACATCAAGCGCCGCGCGGAGTTTCGGCTCTGGCGCTGCCTCGGGCAGCTGCCGATCCCAGAGATGGCCTCAAACTCGAAACCGCCTAAACCCCAAACCCTGAGACCCCAAACCCTGAAACCCTAAACGGCTTGAGAATCGGGCTCAGGGTTCATGGCTTGGGGTTAGAGCTCTCCTGCTGGATGCTCCCAGGCGGCCGTTGCGCATGTCCTGCACGAGGTGGCGGCGGTTCTCCTTGGCGGCCTGCAGCAGCCTTCGTACGCCCCATGCCGAACCAGACTGGATGATGCCGAGCGCAGGGTCTTTCAGGGCGAAGAGCGCATGAACATAAAGCCTGTCTGCATCGCTGAGATCGTAGGCCTCCAGGGGGCTGGCAAGGACGAAGGAGAGCCTCTGACTGGCCATCTCGGAGAGGCCCAACAGGAGCAGCACGTCCCGCACCGAGCTCAGAACAGCCGCGCGCTGCAGCTCGTCGAGAGACTCGGGGAAAAACTGTGCCAGGACAGCAAAGGACGTCAGCACGGCCCTGTAAAAGAAAATTCGCCTCATCTCCTCGTGGCCGCTTTTGGTTTGGGCCAGTTCCCCTTCATTGTGGAAGGGTCCACCCTTGTTGTAGTCACCACGGCAAGTGATGGGTTGGCTCTCTCGAAACAGGTTGTAAGTCGCAACTCCTCCGCAAGCTCATGCTGATTCAAAAGCTCGAAATTAAACCCTCCTTCTGCTCAAACCATTTCAAAGCCTGCTCCTTGCAAGTGACGCCTTTCTTCGACGGTTGCCATGGTTGTGTCTTGGCCCTGGTGTCGTTGGAGGATCTCCGTCAAGAGCCGCCGCTGCACCTTTCCGCGCAACGAAGGCTCGAGACCCCTGCGGCTCGGAGCATCACTACCAATGCGATAGCGACAGCGTCAGTAAAATTCCATCACTTACCGTAAGCAGCTCCAGGCGAGCAGTGTGGAACCCTAAAAGTATGATGCGATCACCACCATCACCATCATCCTCACCATCATCGTCACCATCATCATCATCATCGTCGTCATCATCATCATCATCACCGTCATCATCAATATGATCATGATGATCCCGCCCATCGTCACCATCATCGTCAGCAGCAGCATTGTGATATTGCAATTTCGGGGAGGGCGCGAGCCGAATGGCAGCACCCTACCATCAAGTTGTAGGATCCCTACGGCACCTCAGCTCACGTGACAAGGCTCTTGCATTCCGGCCTCCTCACCTCTCTCTGCCTCGCGGCGGAGGCGCAGGAGCTGCCGCCTTCCATAGGCCGCCAGAAACCAAGAGCTGAAGTACCTCAGCCGAGCTCCACGGTGCAAACAGCTGCAAACCTTTGAAGCAGCTTGCAGTTGCCTTGTGAGCGAAGTCGCCCTTCTTTAGCTGAGAAGCTGCGTAAGTGCAGAGGGCCAGGTATGGCGCACGGACCACTCTCGAGTGCCGATGTCATACAGCCAGAAGGCTGCCACCGCCGCGCCACCAGCATGGCAGAGGCGCGAGAGTTGAACAGGCATCCTGTTTCAAGAACGCTTCCATCTGCTTCATCCAGAGACACTCCAAGTCTGCATCTGTGCATGGGGCCACAGCTACTTCTACCAATGGCACCGTGGACGAGTAGCATGCAAAGCACCTGTATTGTGAATCGCTTCGGCGAGTCAACTCCACACTTTGCAGCTTCTGCATCTGCAGTCACAGGCACGCCCGCGAAAACTGCGCCTTTTCAGTACTCCTCGCAGCTTCACTGTCCGCTCTCATCCAGCAACGCGCTTGCCTGTTCAGAGAGGACATCAAGGAGTTGCACCGTTCTTGCGAGCTGCTCTGGTCCCACAAAAAGCCACGGTATCGGAACTGAACTTCCTTTGCCGTACCCTCAGGATTCAACTGTTTCGAGAACAGAAGCACAAGCGTCCGCGAGGGCCCGGCGATGGATTTCTGATGAGTCTGTGCTGTGCTGACCTGTGGCCAAACGCCCTCACGGGATCAAAACTCTCGTGACCCGTCGGAAGATGACACCTTTGCGGTGTGACACCCCTTCCAGAAGGCCCGGGCTCGTCGATGTCGCATCTGCTGCATAACCTTCAGCACCGAGGCGCTCATGTCAGCCTGCCAGAAAACATCTCTCCATTCTTGGACCTTTTGCAAAGCCAGAATGGCAACGAGACAATTCTCATGCTCGCCACAATACAGATAATACAGTAGCAACAACGACAGCAAGAACTGAAAAATAGCACCAGCACTCGTCGCAGCATAAGAATCACAGTTGCAACACGTCAACCTGACAACATTGCTCATGAAAGTCATCGTTTCTGACAGCGCCTTCGTGGCCGCCTCGAGTACCTGTAGACTTCCAGAGAGTGCCACTTTTCAGGGATCCCTTCGCTTGGAGCTTCGCGCTTAGAGCTTAGGGCTGTTGTGTGTAGTGCGTGGGGTTCAAGGTCTAGTTTGTGGCCAGAAAACTATGCAGAATTGGGGATGGTGGTACGAAGCAGGCTGTTGATAGTAAGTACAAAATTGCTCTCCGCCTGCTAAAATGTTCATCAGTTCTCTAGTTCTCTGGAGAAAGAGCAAGGTCAGGGGAGGTCTGGGGCCTGCGTAATGCCTGTGGCCCTGTTTGTTGCAAGGGAGAACTTCCGAAAATGTGTCGTTCACCTCGGCACAAGACACAATGTGCCGCACATCTGGAATCTGGGCTCGGCACATTGTTGTACAAGGTTGCCTTCAGGTTCGCATCCAGACCTGAATAAGGAAGAAGTATCACCACTACCACTACCTCTAAACGGATCGCTAAATGCCACTAAACCTACCACTACTACAACCACTACTACTCTTAGCACCGCGACCATCACCACCACCAAGACGATTAACTTGAATGAAGGTAAATGAAGACAAATAACACTAGCAAAGACAACTACAGACAACTAACATCTGCTAGAAGCACGTAAAACAGAATTGAAAAAACAGATGCATACAAACAAAACAAATACAAGCAAACTAAAGTAAAACATAGTAGCTGGAAAAAGCACACCTGAAACTGCTTCTGCTGCTGCTGCTGCTGCTGCTGCTGCTGCTGCTGCTGCTGCTGCTGCTGCTGCTGCGGCTGCCGCTGCCGCTGCCGCTGTCGCCGCCGCTGCTGCTGCTGCTGCTGCTGCTACTGCTACTGCTACTGCTACTGCTACTGCTACTGCTACTGCTACTGCTACTGGGACTACGACTAGGACGACGACAACGACTACCTATGAATGCCACTGCACCACTACCACTACCACTGCTAGTACGACTAAATCTTTTTCGAATCGCAGACACTCCAGATGTCCAGCGCCCGTATTCAAACATGTAGTCCAGCCATCCTCTGGACAGCAGATAAGAACGACATGACACGCCAGTACTTGCAGATTTGCATGTCCTTCAGCATCCGAGCAGAAGCTCCAAGCTACGCTGCATGAGTTACTACTTCTATTACTGCAATTGCTGCTGCTGCTGCCGCTCCTACCTCTCCTGCTGCTATGTGTCCTCCTCCGGGAGCAGTACTGGTGCTGGAAAGCTAGTGCCGATACTCGTCCAAGTTTTGGGCCTTGTTGTAGTAGCCGTGGTGCGACTATTAAAGTAGCGGTCATTCCGTTTCTCTTGACACTGAGTCCGCCGTCTTTTGTGGCGATGCCACTTGCAGGGTCGAGTAGGAGCCTGGCAGTCATCAGCCTCATCGAGCAAGGATATGGCCCGGCCCACAGTCTCCTTCAAGGCTCGCGACCAGAGAGCTCCAGTAATGTATTGTAGCACACCCATATCCAAAAGTATGAACAACAATACATATACATATTTACCTAAACATGGACATAGACATAAATAAACACGTAGACTCACACATACATACACACGCACACGTACATGCATACATACATACATACATACATACATACATACATACATGCATGCATGCATGCATGCATGCATGCATGCATGCATGCATGCATGCCGGAATATATGTGTTTGTGTGTTGGTCTTTCTGTGTGTGTGCATGCATATGTAATAACAATATTAATAAATACGAACAAGAAAAGAAGAAGCATGATCATAAGAAACAAGACTTGCAATACAGGGACGAGAAGAAGAACCAGAACAGCAATAATGGTACTGAACATTTTCAGTACCAACAATAATGGCAATGATGACTGTAAAGCAACAGTATTGCCAAATGAATGCCCGGAGTGAATCCTGGCACGGCGAATCGCTCACCCAGCCTCTTTGGTGCTCACCCCGGCTTTGCAAAAGGCCTTGACCTCAGGTATGAAACGACTTCACGAAAACCTAACAGTCATCACCCCAACCTGAATCCCCAAAAAGACTTCTTCCTGGCCGCTATCTGCCCTAACAAAGACTTTGTCGCCAGAAGGCCAGGATCGAGCATGTGAACTTGTCCGGCTTGTAGCCATGTTGTCGCATCTCCTCCACGTGAACATGAACCTACGCCCAGCTGATGCCCTCCAGCGATGAGCTGACGTTTGGGTGTCGCCTAAAGCTCCATTCGATTGCGCTGGGTGAAGCTTTGTTGAAATTTCTGAACTTCTCGTCGGAAACCCGTCTCCAGATTTTCGGGACCCAAGAATGCCGTGTCTCACAAAGCTACTGGTACGAGTAGTGATGTACGAAGCGTCAGCGCTCAAATCGCAGCCTGCTGTCGGCTCCAAGCTTCTTCGGGCCGCCCCGCGCGCACGGCGGCATCCATGATCTGGGCATCGCAGGGGGCAAAGGTCTGAGGTCCAGGCGACCAGAACCCAAAGAGATACGTTTGAGCAGCCGACCGTGTTGAAGCTGATCGCGTTGGGAGAAATCCGGCGGGCCTTCATTCTCTGCATCACCTGCACGGATCCGAGGATCGGGAAGGACGAACACGGTTGTTACCGAATGTTACCGAGGCCTGGTCGTCGTGAAATCGAGTGCATACATGCTGACAACACGACAGTCGCAGGCACCGGGAAGCCTCGCAAGCTGCGTCGTAGTTGGCCCGTTGTGTAAACGCCTTGATGAGGGTGTTGTAGGACACGACCTTACTTGGATGCTCCCGACGCCACTGAAAGCCACTGAAAACCGGTCTGCATCTCGGTGCCCAACGTCTGCAACCGATGGCTTCATCTGCTCTGCCTGTGCAGCTTTTGGGAATACTTCAAGCTTCCGCGATTGTGCAGACCAGCCTCAGTCAGAAGCTCCAAGACTTCGTCCACCTAGGAAGGCCAAAACTTGAAGCACCTCTTCTAGTGGGGAGTCGCAGGGCGTCGCAGAGCATCGCAGAGCTGCGACCCCAACCTTGTCCGCGGCAACCCCTGTAGAGAGTGTGACGTTCAACGCGAGGCTGTCAACGGAAACGCCTAGCCAAAGCCACGAAAGTCACTTGCGCCCCCTATCTCCTCATCTGAGCCCTTCGGGCCCTTGAGGGTGACTTCATGCCTCGGCCTGGCCTCGGCTCCTCATGTCCCGGATGGTGGCCAAGGCGCTGGGCCTTGGGGGCTCGAGCTGCGCCCGCTCGCCCAAAGGGGCCACGAATGCTCTCAGCAGGCTGCCAGTCTTGTCGCTTGTTGTGAACCCCCAGGATCGTCATGTAGGCGCCTCAGGCAGGGTCCGGGTTCAACAATGCAGAGAATTGCAGAGACGCAGAAGCTGAACCACCGAACCGCTGGGATCAGGATGCTTCTCGCGCTCGATGCAGAGGTTCACCGCGAATTGCATTGGCCATGCATTCAGGGTGCTCGGAGTCTCGCTATTGAATTCAAGGACCCTTCCATGGGATTCGACAGACCATGGCCAGTGCTGGTGACTGGCGGAGCCTACGAGCACCAACAGACTTGCAAGTATTGAAAAAGAGCGGTACTAGTAGCTGCTTCAGGACCCTGCACTGGATCAAGGAACTGAGACGACCCAGACAACCACTTGAAACCAAAACTTTAGCGACATGGGCATTGCCTATCTTGACACAGTATGCCGGTTTTCTCAGACTTTGCAGCCTTCGACTTCCAAGCCTGAACCTGCACGAATTATTACTTACTGCAGCCTCTGCGAACACTCCGTGCTTGCAGCTGCCATCTGTCGTCCGAGCCAGACCGTTTCAGTCTTTACGACGGCATGATATGGCTCACTGCTCTTTGAGAAAGGTGCAAATGCACCGGCCGCCTCCAGCTGAAATCATCTTCGGGCCGAGGGTCTTTGCGCACCTCAAGCAACTCCCACTACCGCCTGCAAGGGCGAACCACCCACCTGCAATGCCTCTTCCAGCTGCGACGATGCTAGCAGGCTTGCCTAGGCACAGCGACGTCGAGACGAGACGCACAACTGGGATCAAGTGGGGAGTTTGCGCAAGCTAATATACTACTAGTAGGATTGCTGTTCTACAGCGATGCTTGAGACTGCAAAAACAAGAAGCGAACAAGACAAAGTCTTGTCTGGCAGATCTAAAGCCAGAAGAGATCCTTGCAAAGGCATCGAAAGAAAGACGTGGAGCATTCATACCTGCAGCCTGTGCATGCTCCAACTGGGGGTCCCCGAAACCTTGGGGACGACACCAGCAGCCGCTTCGCCGAGACGAGGGCCTGCTCCTAAATCGGAGCAACAGTGCTGGCTAAGCACGGCTATGTTGAGGTGATGGAGCTCCTGAACTTTCGATTCTTGCTGTGCAGTGTATAGACGGTTATGTCTATCTGAACGGTGACGACCCACGTGATAACGAAGACGGTGATGACACTGATGCTGATGTGAAGATGCGGGTGGTGATAAGCATGCTGATGGTCAGTCAGTCAGTCAGTCAGTCAGTCAGTCAGTCAGTCAGTCAACCAACCAACCAACCAACCAACCAACCAACCAACCAACCAACCACCCAAGCAAGCAAGCAAGCAAGCAAGCAAGCAAGCGATCATCATCATCACCGTATCATCATCAATTATCATCATCACCACCATCATCATCACCCTCCCGACGTGGCCACGATCGTGGTCGCTGTCACGACGGTCGTCTCAAATGCATCACGGCGCTGTATTCTACTGCTCGTCGTTACGGCAGAAGCCTTTCAGAGGCTTTAACTAGCCAGGCTTAACTCTGAAGAACTCCCCGAAAAGGCCGAACCCAGCACAGCCCTTGGCGGCCTGGTCACCATTTTCCGCTCCCTGCGGCCTCCAAGACGAGGCTGTCACGGGGCGTGAAAAGGGATTTAGTTGCCTTCACCCCAACCAAGGCCTCGTGGCTCGCAGCTCCTTCTCCAGCCGCGCCCGTTCTCGCAGAGCCTTGGCTGACATTATGACGGGGCTTGGCCAGCAAAGCAGAGGGCAGCTATGGGCAGCCGCACCAGCTTGTACTCGCGATGCAAGAGGTCGACCTGCGAGTGCCCGTGGGCTCAGCATGGCTACGTCGGCCCCTCGTTTTCCCTCGTTGACCGGACTCACTCAAGAGAGGGACTCACTCAAGAGCGGAAAGGTCCAGCGCCCGCCAGTGGTGAAACAGAAAGTTGCAACTCTCAGGACATCAAGGCCATCGGAACAGCCACGCGCGTTTCACCTTCAGGGTCCACATAGACGGAGCATAAAGAAGTGGGGATTGCAGCCCGAAACTGTGCGACGGCCACGGTAAGGTCATCCATGAAGTCAGGCACAAAGTCGGTTCTGCGAATCAGAATTCCAAGAAGGGTGTGCAGCGACAGCCGTCCCAAAGCACGAGCCAGCTCTGGAGGTATGAGCCGGATCAGCGTGGTCTTGCTAAGTTCTTGCACGCGCTGGTGCATCAGAGCACACAGAGGAAGGACCTCACGCTGCAAGCCCCGCTCGGCTGCCTTCGTATGGATGTGAGGCAAAAGGGCTGCGAGCAACGATACTTCATCTAGCTGATTCTCAAGGTGCTTCTTCTGATTCTTGCCGAGCCTGAACGTCTTCTCATGATCGAAATGGCAATGTGTGCAGAAGACCTCGCGCTTGCAGCATCCTTTCGCAAGGTATACGCACGGCCTGTAGCACATGTCAGGATGTCCAAAGCTCCCAATGCTAGGTATTACCAGCGGATTGTCACTCAGCTCTGAAGGAATGTGACTCTTCTTCAGGACCTCTGTTATATGGCGCATGAGACGTGGGCGAAGATTTTCCGTGTCTGGAGGCTCCTCCGCCACCGGCACCTCGAGTCCAGGTGGAGGCCCAAGAGGGCCCGCAGCTTCCTGTCCTGTAGACCGGCTGGATCCCAAGAGAGCTGAAACAAGTCTCCGTCCTGACCGCTTCCGGCCACTGAGTCGATGAGTTGGCGGAACACGGCCAAGCTCAGGGTAGGCTCTTGGCGGCTTCGGCTGGGGAGTGGGGGTAGCGCAGGGAGAGCTCCTGTGTCAGGACAAGTGGGAAGTCGCCCAGGATCACGGGCAGGGCGACTCGCTCCTTACCGCTCCTCCTTCGGCTTCAGCTCGCTCTGGCGGCACTGCTGGTGCCGGCCTTGAAGCAGGACGCTCCTCCTGCCGCTTCGTTTGAAGTGGCAAGAACCGAGGCAGCTCTAGAGGGCGCACATGCTCAAGCTGCGGCGCAGCGAAAAAAAGAGGTAGTGGATCATGCTGCTTCTGGAATGGGAGCACTTTCGGCATGGCTTCCATCCGCAAGGCTTCCGAAGTGACCTCCTCGACCTGCCATGCATCACGCCCTTCCAAACCGCCCGATGGTGCTGGTCCAGCCTTCTCAGGAGTCGGAACTTGCATATCCAGCTTCAGTCTAGAGGTGCTCAACGTCAACTCGCGATCTTTGCGAGATGATATTTTGTTTTTGTTCCTCTGGCGTAATCGTAGGCCCTTGAGCGACTGCTCTGGTATGCTGACATCTTGCTGCAGGATTGGCAGCTCACCACTGCTCGAAGAGGATTTGTGGGAGGTCGAGGGCTTGAAAATTTGTTGCTGCCGTTGAATGAAACCAGGAGCATGGCTTTTGCCGGGTGACGTTTGGCCGGATTGCTGTGTGAGCAAGCTTGCCAAACCAAAGTTTCCGTCAAGATCAAGTCCAGGGCAAACTACCTCGATCGGAGTAGTCCCCTTCTTGTCCTTTCTCTGTTTGCGCACCTCTTGCACAAAGCGGTACAGCAAAAAGAAGAGAATGAGAGAGTACGGAATCATGAAAAAATACACCTGGCACAGGGACAGGCTTGTTTCTTGAACAGTCAGCTGCACTGCCATCCTTGGATCCCTGGCGTCTGCTCCCATGGCGTTGAAGATTGCGTGTGCGCAAAAACGAAAATTGCACCGAAGGCCACTGGCAAGTGCATGGCCAACGCCGCCGTGCATACATTCACCATCTCAAGCCGATATTCGCGATGGCGGCTGCGGCAGCAAACATCTCGATGCAGCAGGAGGCGAAGGCACAACTGACTGCGTCGACCTTTCAAGCGGAAGGGAACTTGTCTGCTGATTTGCTGCCAAGTGCGCACTTCTCTTCTAGTTATCCCCAATCGTGCACAGGCTCTGTTGAATGCACAAAGCATTTACCAGAAAGTCAAGTATTGGATCACATGGCTCCACTCTTCCACACGGGCCTTGCAAAGAATATGAAACAGCCAACAACACAGCAACCGCCCTAGTAACCCATCAACATCCCCCGAAATACGAAAGGCCTTTGAAGGCCCTGAAGGAGTTCGAGGCCTTCCTCTCCAAGCTCTCCCGGGAGGTGGCATCTCGTAGACCTTCCTGAGCCCAGGCTCGGATCATTAGGTTTTAGGATTTAGGGAATTTAGGGTTTAGGGCTTGGGCTGTTAACCACCCTTGCTGCGGTTGTTCTTGCGACCACCAAGGGCGCGTGTTCATACTGCGAAGGAAGTGACCACTGCTGTCTACTGCTACGAAACTCTGCAAGTTCTCAGGCCTCGCGCAAGCGGGCGGCTTCAAAGCGAAGCACCTCCGGGTTTCGAGGCGCTCCGCTAGCGCCAGCCATCGAAACTATGGTTCTTCTAGTCACCTCAGAAGAACTTTGAGTCAACATGATGCTTAGATTAACCTCCGCAACCATCATGATAACCTAAGTCTGCATATGTGCCATTGCTGCTGCTTGGAGTTGCTGCTCTTGCTGCTGCTGCTGATGCTGCAGCGGCTGCTGCCGCCGCAGATGCTGCTGCTTTGTCGTGCGACGAAGACGGCGACCAAACCACGACTGTGAAGGCAATGACTTCTACTGCCGCTACTAGCTACGACTAGTTTATCTAACTTCGATTTGCTATACTTTCTATGCACCCCCGGGCCTATCGCACTCTACTGGGCAGGCGCCTCTTCATGAGAAGTGGGCCCCGACCGGCGGCACGTGCCCCACGAGCACCCCCTTTCTCCCCCGCCCTGACCCGACAGTGAGGCCGTGGTCCTGAGTGCATTATTGGGGCTTGAAGCTTTTGAGCTCCATCAGCACATTGGCCTGCTGGTCCCGCACAGGTTAGACCGCACGGCGTGTTTCCTTTTGGGCTGGGAGTGCTTGCTACATTCCTCGTGGAGGCTGCTAAGGCCTCTATGCATGTGTGCGCTCCCCCCGCACTTAGCCTGCTGATCTCATGTGCCGGCTGCATTGCTTGATGTGACGATAGTGGACACTGGTTGAAGGTTCTTGCTACATTGGCCCTGCTTGCGTGAAGACGTTGGTCTCCCTCTGCACTTGGTCTGCTGATCTCGCACGTGAGTTTTGCATTCTACACGACTAAGTAGTGACTACTTGCTGGGCATGCTTGCTTTATCAGTGGTGGGGGGTACTAAGCCCTCTCAGCATGGAGTTGTTGTGCCTTGGCCTGTCGGTCGCGTGTGTTGGCTATGCTTGCTGCATTGCTTGTTGTGACGTTTCTGCCCCTTGACTTGGCCGCTGGTTTGAGTTTGTTACATTGTTTTGGCCGGCAGTTGACGTGCAAATAAACCCTGCTGCGGACGGTTGACATTGTGATTCTCTGCTGTTGGCCTCATGCATACCGGAGAGTTGTGCTCCCTGTGCTTGGCACAGAATGAGAAAAATGCTCAGACGGGCCGTTGCTGTGCCTCCAGCTCAGCCTCTTCTTCGTGGGACAGCGCGTCCACTATCTGTGCAGGCCTTAACAGGGATTGGCTTCTTAGTGCACACTGGTATCTGCACTGCATGTCCTCACTTGGATGTGTCCCTGGGAACCCAGTACTTGCCCTGGTATGCCATGCACCTCAGCACATGGCAGCCTGACATCCAAAGAAGCAAAAGAAAAGGCTGGAGACGCGCGAATTGCCTGCACCTGTGCCTCAGTGGTCCTGCCGCTCACGACTCCCAACTCCCAGCTCAGGCCCATGCGCCAGACCTGCGAATCCTGGGAAGCGCACCGGAAAATGCGGCTCAGCAGTGTTCATGCCTCTCCAATTTCCAGAGTCGCGGCCTCCATGCCCTGGAGTAGGTGCCGAAGTCCGGCGGTCAATTCGTCGAAAGCCCTGCAGACTGGATCACTGCAGGCTGCAACTTATGCCGTCGAGCGACTGCCAAGACAAGGAATGGCAACAACCTGCCAACAACACGTCCTGAATCCTGAACACCGGCACCAGAGGAGTCCCAGAAGAGCAGCACAAGATCGGCTGTGAATTTGAGCATGGCCTGTACGTACATTGGGCCGGCCATGTGCATCTATACACGCCGGCAGCACTGGCGACCAAAGAATTAGTTACAGCCTTGTTGTTGTTGTTGCAGCTCGGTTGCTGTCGCACCAAACTGATGTTACAGGCTGCATGGGTTTAGAGTTTAGATGCCACGACAAAGACTACTTGAAGGCTGCTTCCTGCTGCGTCAGGCCAGGATTGAGCCAGCCTAAAAATCACGCTGCTTGATATACGCAGTGGCTCATCACGGTTCCCAGCACCTGCAATGAAAACCTCAAGGCTTTGGCCCTCGGGCCCAACCGGTACTGGCACAAAGTCCCAACAAAGGCGGGGCGCGGATAGAAGGAGTCGTCATACAGCTCAGCTTCCTGGCAGATCGAAGGCCGGGTAAGCAAGGCTTTGGCAACGGCTCAGCTCCATGAAGCGGCGCTGTCACCGCGAACAGAAACTGCCAAGTAGAATCAAGCCAAGTGTTCAGAACGGTTGCTAGCCGAAGGCCACGCAAATGCCACCGGTTTGGGAAGGCAACATCACATGCAACACTGTGTCAGGAAACTGTTGCATCGTGTCCGGCCTTACCTTTGTCTAGTCCGACATCAGCAACTCAAAACTAGCCGGCAGGAACTCAAAGAACTCTCGGGCACGAGTGAAGTCACCGACCTGTGGCGAAACATTGCAATCCCTGTTTCAGCACTTGCTAACAGTAGTGCCACTACTAGTAGCGGCTAATCGACCTCTTTCATCGTAGTTGCAGCAGCACGTGCAGCAAGAGCGGTAACAGTGGTAGTTGTAGTAGAAGCAGCAACTATCGCTGTGGACGGAGTAGTGGTGGTAGTAGTAGCAGCAGCAGCAGCAGCAGCAGCAGCAGCAGGAGCAGTGGTATTAGTAGTAGTCGTCGTCGTAGTAGCAGCACCAGTAGTAGGAGTCGTCGTCGTAGGAAAAGTAGACGGGTTA